ACAGTAAACACAAGCTGCAGTTTCTAATGAAAGGTAATTCTTTCAGGATCGATGTGACCATGGTCTCCCATCATCTCCAGGACAACGAGCCCATCAGGCTGGATAGTCACCAGGCTGACACTACAGTTAGCCACACAGATTCTCAACCAGGCTTCTCCTGGGAACTGTAGAGCTCTAGGAGTAGAACAAGGTTTACAGGTTTTAGTGCTTATCATACACACAGCATGTGTTGTAATTAACATAGACACATCCTGTAGTTAACATAGACACATCCTGTAGTTAACATAGCTACATCCTGTAGTTAACATAGATACAACCTGTAGTTAACATAGACACATCCTGTAGTTAACATAGACACAACCTGTAGTTAACATAGACACAACCTGTAGTTAACATAGCTACATCCTGTAGTTAACATAGACACAACCTGTAGTTAACATAGACACATCCTGTAGTTAACATAGCTACATCCTGTAGTTAACATAGATACAACCTGTAGTTAACATAGACACATCCTGTAGTTAACATAGCTACATCCTGTAGTTAACATAGCTACATCCTGTAGTTAACATAGACACATCCTGTAGTTAACATAGACACATCCCGTAGTTAACATAGACACATCCTGTGGTTAACATTGACACATCCTGTAGTTAACATAGACACATCCTGTAGTTAACATAGATACATCCTGTAGTTAACACAGACACATCCTGTAGTTAATATAGATACCTCCTGTAGTTAATATAGATACCTCCTGTAGTTAACACAGACACATTCTGTAGTTAATATAGATACCTCCTGTAGTTAACACAGACACATCCTGTAGTTAATATAGATACCTCCTGTAGTTAATATAGATACCTCCTGTAGTTAACATAGGCACATGTTGTAGTTAACACAGACATATGTAGTAAACACAGACATATACTGCAGTAAACATACACATGTTACAGTAAACACATACATATACTGCAGTAAACACACATGTTGTAGTAAACAGACATATACTGCATTAAACAGAGACACATGTTGTAGTAAACACAGACTTATACTGCAGTAAACAACAAAGACTTCACATATGTTGCAGTAGTAAATTAGTTAACAAAGACTTCACACATGTTGCAGTAGTAAATTAGTTAACAAAGACTTCACATATGTTGCAGTAGTAAATTAGTTAACAAAGACTTCACATATGTTGCAGTAGTAAATTAGTTAACAAAGACTTCACACATGTTGCAGTTAAAACAGAACTGGCAAATGCAATTAAAAACTTGACACAATTTGGATAAAGGGAGAGAGAAAGAGTTTAATAACAATGAAAAACAGATTTTATGTATACAGTATGTGTCTATCGCAGCTGAAAAGCAACTAATTTAAACACGACAGAAACAAAACAATAACACTGCTCTGCAAACTGTCAAAACAAACAATTGTGTAAACTTAGAGTTCTAAACAATGAATCAATAACAATACCACAAGTAAATCTGATATATGTTGTACAGTATCAAATATACAAGAAACAATATGTGTACACACCAGTACATTAGCAAAACTGTCAGTATGTGTAAATATGTATACAAAGTTTTTAAAAAAAGGTAACAATAACAAGTCATGGGCATTTTCAGGTCGACTAGAAACGACACAACCTCACAAGAGTGGTTCTTACTGTCAGGCCAGCAGCCTCTTCCCTGAAGTTATGAACTGATAAATCAGAGGATGTGAGGTTTTGATGCCAGGCTCGTCTGTATGGGACTTGTAACACTGATACAGTGCAAGGTATTGTTGACATTTGAGCAAATCAACAGTCACCACCAACATGGCCATAACAGAGTGATAAGGAGAAGACAGACTTCTTTTTGGACAGTTGCCAGTCAAGTAGCTTTAACAGTTGCCAGTCAAGTAGCTTTAACAGTTGCCAGTCAAGTAGCTTTAACAGTTGCCAGTCAAGTAGCTTTAACAGTTGCCAGTCAAGTAGCTTTAACAGTTGCCAGTCAAGTAGCTTTAACAGTTGCCAGTCAAGTAGCTTTAACAGTTGCCAGTCAGAGATTTCCAAAGGTTGCCAGTCATGTAGCTTTAACAGTTGCCAGTCAGAGATGTCCAACAGTTGCCAGTCATGTAGCTTTAACAGTTGCCAGTCAGAGATTTCCAAAGGTTGCCAGTCATGTAGCTTTAACAGTTGCCAGTCAGAGATTTCCAAAGGTTGCCAGTCATGTAGCTTTAACAGTTGCCAGTCAGAGATTTCCAAAGGTTGCCAGTCATGTAGCTTTAACAGTTGCCAGTCAGAGATTTCCAAAGGTTGCCAGTCATGAAGCTTTAACAGTTGCCAGTCAGAGATTTCCAAAAGTTGCCAGTCGAGATGTCCAACAGTTGCCAGTCATGTAGCTTTAACAGTTGCCAGTTAAGTAGCTTTAACATTTGCCAGTCATGTACTTTAACACTTGCCTGTCACGCAGCTTTAACAGCTGCTAGTCATGTAGCTTTAACAGTTGCCAGTGAAGTAGCTTTAACATTTGCCAGTCATGTAACTTAACACTTGCCTGTCACGCAGCTTTAACAGTTGCCAGTCATGTAGCTTTAACAGTTGCCAGTCATGTAGCTTTAACAGTTGCCAGTCATGTAGCTTTAACAGTTGCCAGTCATGTAGCTTTAACAGTTGCCAGTCATGTAACTTAATACTTGCCTGTCACGCAGCTTTAACAGCTGCTAGTCACGCAGCTTTAACAGCTGCCAGTCACGCAGCTTTAACAGTTGCCAGTCATGTAGCTTTAACAGTTGCCAGTCACGCAGCTTTAACAGTTGCCAGTCACGCAGCTTTAACAGTTGCCAGTCATGTAGCTTTAACAGTTGCCAGTCATGTAGCTTTAACAGCTGCCAGTCATGTAGCTTTAACAGTTGCCAGTCATGTAGCTTTAACAGTTGCCAGTCATGTAGCTTTAACAGTTGCTAGTCATGTAGCTTTAACAGTTGCCAGTCATGTAGCTTTAACAGTTGCCAGTCATGTAGCTTTAACAGTTGCCAGTCACGCAGCTTTAACAGTTGCTAGTCATGTAGCTTTAACAGTTGCCAGTCACGCAGCTTTAACAGTTGCCAGTCATGTAGCTTTAACAGTTGCCAGTCATGTAGCTTTAACAGTTGCCAGTCATGTAGCTTTAACAGTTGCCAGTCAGAGATTTCTAACAGTCGCTAGCCACATATCTTCAACAGCTGCCAACCAGCCACAAATCTTTAGCAGTTAATTTTACACAAATGAGAATCACTTTCTCACTGTATACTCTATATTAGAATCCCCATCAGGTGTATTCTACATAAACACTATAAAAACCATCTGAAGCAGAGCTCTTCCACCTTTTTTTAGGTGGCGCTCCTTTTAAGTGTATGGCAATTCTCCCCCCCCCCCCCCCCAAAATGTGATTTTAAAAAAAAGAAGAGAGAAACGTGTTCTTAATCTATAATATTTCAATTTTTAAACTAGAAATGCACTGACTGCTCAGGAAAACGAAAATATCTTTGTGTCTATTTGTTTGACAAACAGTTAAAAACATTCAACTTATAATGAAACTGGAGGGAAAACGATGTTAGTATAACATATAATCACAAGTACAAATGCACTCATTCTCAAAACTGCTTGATGCCCCTCTTGGACCCCCCCCCCCCCCCATGGGGGGGGGGGGGAGGGGGGGCACATGAGCACAAAAACTCAGGTATAACAAGATGAACTTACAGTATAAGTAATATAAACACAACATAAACTATAAGGTCCCATTTCCTCGCCTTTAGACGTATTGCATGCTCAATCTTCCCATGCAGTAGCCAACCCAAGGTGAAGTGACTGTTCACACAAGAAGTCGGTAATAATGTCTTCTATCTTGATGAGAAAGAATTCTGAAAAGCTATATAAATCCTATCCTGATATATGGAAGAGAATCATGGACAGCTGGTCGATTAGTTAGTAAATATTATTTGGAAGCTGCAGAGATGTGGTTTTATAGACGAATGATAAGAATACCCTGGACAGATAAAAAAACAGAGTCACGAAAATGTCTTAAAAGAAAGGAAGAGAATGACTTACCATATCAGAAAGAGACAATCTACATTCTTTGGTTCATGTCATGAGAAGGAGAAAACTGGAGTGCATCGTGAGGATGGGCATGTTGGCAGGAAAGAGAGGCAGAGGGAGAGTGAGAGAGAAGATGCTGGACAGTCTGAAATTATGGCATGGAAGATCATCAGTCAGAATTGAATGAAAGTACACAAGACAGTAGGCTGTGGACAGTCATGACTACCGACGCTGCACAGCAGTGACTATAAACAAATCTTCACCTCAAAATACATTTAACAGGCAGTACTCCTATCTCATCATCAGTTCTCGTTATGCATAGTGGCACATGAGGCTTCAGAGAGGACTTTCGATGCTTTCCTGTCCTGTGCAATCTTCAATGCAGTTTTTCATGTCAAAGATGCCACACTCAGGTCACTTTCCATCGTTCGTCTCCATGTTGTTTTTGGGCGCCCCTTTTTTTCTCTTTCCCTCTGGTATCCATGTGAGAGCTGTTTTGGCAGGTATATCAGGATTCATTCTCATAAAGTGGCCAAGCTATTTCCATCTTCTCCTGGTTTTCATACTGTCTAGAGTTTCTTGGTTTGTGACTTGATGTAGTTTAGTGTTGGAGATTGTATCTGGCCAGAAAGTTTTGATAATTCTACGTAGACATGTGTGGTGGAAGGTAGACAGCTTGTGTACATCCTTTTTGGTCATTCTCCAGCATTCTGCAAAATGATTCTCTTGTAGAGTCAGAGTTTTGTTCCTCTGCAGTAACTTACTCCTTCCTATCTCACCTAATGGGTTATTTATTTACTAAGTGGTCTTAAATTTTTCAGCACCCTAGTAATGTAGTACACACCAACCCTCTAACCCTTTATATTCATTCTCCATCACTACAACGGCCTATAACTCTCCTACAGTGACTTAGAATTGAAACCCTAAACTGTACTGCATGTTAACTAAATGAGATTTTGCTGCCTGGTATGTGCCCATGATCGCCGGCACCTGACACAGACACCCGACCACTTGGTCGAACAACAATGTGAGTAATGCTGCAGTTGGCTAGAGAGAATCGCAGCCAGGCCTCGGGAGGGAATTGTAGAGCCCTGAAACAAAATCAACAATTTCAATGTCTGTTCTTTCATCGTGACACATGGTCAGACTGGTATCAAATCAATGTAAAAGATCACAAAACTCAGAGTAACAAAAAGTAACAAGTAATATTGTACACAAGATTGGATTCCAACAATGTAACAAACAATCGTGAACACTGGAGTTCTTCAGTGGTAACACTGGGGATTCAGAACTTTGTCCATGTGGACAGGCAGCGTGTGCTACAGACACGCTCACTACATGCAATAGAGAGATCCCAGGTTTGGCCGGCTGGCATTCCAATGGAAACCATTCTGTACGGGACAGTGGAAGATATGCGTCGCACAACAAACTTCACAGAGGCCAGTGGCCATCTTATCAGAAAACTACTTGGAGGGAGAGTGAAAGAAGAAGAAGTAGCAACATCTGCACAGCTAGTTAGCCCACAAAGCAGCAGACTGAACAATACCACTTCTGTTCCTTCAGTCATTCACTGCATGTTCGCCATGACTCCTTGATACTATTTTATATCTGAAAAACTTCTTAAGCCACAGAATCTCAGACAATTATCTTCAGTTACTGGAGAACTTCAGTCATTTTCAGGTATGGGAGGCAATTATCTTCAGCTAAAGAACGTCAATCCTCTTCAGCTATAGAACATCAGACAATTATCTTCAGCTACAGAACGTCATTCCTCTTCAGCTATAGAACGTCAGACAATTATCTTCAGCTACAGAATGTCATTCCTCTTCAGCTTCAGAACTTCAGACAATTATCTTCAGCTACAGAACGTCAATCCTCTTCAGCTACAGAACTTCAGACAATTATCTTCAGCTACAGAACGACATTCCTCTTCAGCTTCAGAACTTCAGACAATTATCTTCAGCTACAGAACGTCAATCCTCTTCAGCTACAGAACTTCAGACAATTATCTTCAGCTACAGAACGTCAATCCTCTTCAGCTTCAGAACTTCAGACAATTATCTTCAGCTACAGAACGTCAATCCTCTTCAGCTTCAGAACTTCAGACAATTATCTTCAGCTACAGAACGTCAATCCTCTTCAGCTTCAGAACTTCAGACAATTATCTTCAGCTACAGAACGTCAATCCTCTTCAGCTACAGAACCTCAGACAATTATCTTCAGCTACAGAATGTCATTCCTCTTCAGCTACAGAACTTCAGACAATTATCTTCAGCTACAGAACGTCAATCCTCTTCAGCTTCAGAACTTCAGACAATTATCTTCAGCTACAGAACGTCAATCCTCTTCAGCTTCAGAACTTCAGACAATTATCTTCAGCTACAGAATGTCATTCCTCTTCAGCTACAGAACTTCAGACAATTATCTTCAGCTACAGAACGTCAATCCTCTTCAGCTTCAGAACTTCAGACAATTATCTTCAGCTACAGAACGTCAATCCTCTTGTGCTACAGAACTTCAGACAATTATCTTCAGCTACAGAACGTCAATCCTCTTCAGCTACAGAACTTCAGACAATTATCTTCAGCTACAGAATGTCAATCCTCTTCAGCTACAGAACTTCAGACAATTATCTTCAGCTACAGAATGTCAATCCTCTTCAGCTACAGAACTTCAGACATTTATCTTCAGCTACAGAACGTCAATCCTCTTCAGCTACAGAACTTCAGACATTTATCTTCAGCTACAGAACGTCAATCCTCTTCAGCTACAGAACTTCAGACATTTATCTTCAGCTACAGAACGTCAATCCTCTTCAGCTACAGAACTTCAGACATTTATCTTCAGCTTCAGAACTTCAGACATTTATCTTCAGCTACAGAACTTCAGACATTTATCTTCAGCTACAGAACTTTAGACATTTATCTTCAGCTACAGAACGTCAATCCTCTTCAGCTACAGAACTTCAGACAATTTTCTTCACCTACAGAACCTCAGGCAATCCTCTGCAGCTACAAGAGAACCTAAGACAATCATCTTTAGCTAAAGGAAAAGCTCAGAGAACTTCAGAAAACATTAATAAGCAATTATAGAATAATTATATAATTTTTTACAACTGTAAGAATAACTCACAGAATTCCAGTGTACACTAAATTCAGAATAACATACCTCTGCTAACAGTAACTCCAGTATAACAGACCTGTACTTACTATAACCTCAGCATAATTGCCTACTACCAAATAACTTCAGCATAATTGGCCTACTACTTAGTAACTTCAGTATAACAGATCTGTAGTGGTTGTCTCTGCTAGTACAGGTCTGTTATCTTTTAAAGATAACCATCTTTAAAACAAAACAACCATGAACCGGTAAAGGGCATTAACTTGAACAAAATGTCAACATCACGTCTGTAGGGCAGGGCTAGTCAGCTAAGTTCACTCAGTGGCCAGAATGTTGAAAATGGAGATCATCACAGGCCAGAGGGTCCCAGCCACAGCATAGAAAGATCATTAATACAATACAGTTGGCAGTGATCTGTGGCCTATGTCCTAGGCCTTTGTGGGCCGCTAGTTGAAGAACCCTGCTATATGGTGATATTTCAGATCTGATTCTAACAAAGACTGATGTCATATTTTCAGTTTCATACTGTGAGAATTTTTCAGGTGGAATATTTTTAGTTAACTGTTAATGTGGGGCTTTGCGGAAGAACTAAACAAATTCCAGTGAATCAAGGGGAGAAAAAAAAAGATGCTGGCATGGGATAGGACACGTTTAAAAAAAAAAACAAGACATCAAATGAATATAACTAGAATGTCTTTGCACTAGAACCCACATAGGCAGAGAAAAAAATTCACACCTAAAAACGTGGAGAAGAGAACTAGAGAGTGAAGTTTAAGTATGGGGAAGGTGATCAGCATGAGATAGTAAAAGATAGGATGACCTGACCGGAGTTGCTTGAAGGAAAGTCTGTCTATCCTCATATGCGATAGTAAAAGATAGGATGACTTGACCGGAGTTGCTTGAAGGAAAGTCTGTCTATTCTCAAACTTGGGAATAAAGGGTACTCAATTAAAAAAATTATTTAAAAAAATTAAAGAAGATACATCCCACACACAAGGGATAAAATATTGTGGTTTACAGCTAGTCTGCAATATCTGTCCCTTGTTCCCAGCACATCCAATTTCAGTAAACTCTTAAGTAGCCACCTTTCAGGACATGCTTGTTAGAGGGCAGCGGTTCGATCCCCCCCCCCCACCCCCCCCCCCCAATGGGGCCTTGGAACCCACACGAGGAAGACAGAGAAATGATGACACACAACTCTCAAAGTTACCAATTATAAACACACAAAAACAAAACAAAATCTGAAGCAACAACAAAAATAATAAACACACAATAAACAACAGTGGTTACCTGCAAATAAAGTAACGAATGACATTTGCATGACACACTATAATCTCGTAGGAGTCTTCCTTCTGACCTGGGTCCGCTCGGTAGAAATACTTCCTGAAAGCACTCTCAATGCGAGCTCCATCTTGGAAGAACTGCTGGAAGAAATCACCAAGCAGATGGTTACATTCGGGAAATAAACCTCTGTCAAATAATCAACTGTGTATACATATGGCCAAGTCATTAATTCTCTATCTTCTTCTTCTTCGCGTTCACCAGCTGTACACTCTGGCCAAAAGTTATGGTTGTTCATCCACTTCTGGACTGCAGTCCTAGTCCCAGAACCTGAGTGTTGCGTGTGCATCCGTTTTACAGATCTGATCATTTGTATGCAGACTGCTGGTTCCTTGCCTCTCAAGCAGAGCACTCCGACTTCGAAGGAAGCCCCCAATTAGTCGACTCTCACTGGGTCTATTCTTTTTACCCCCATAATAGGGCCCCGGAACCCACACGGGAAGCAGATTACATATGACACTAAAGCTAATATACCAATAGTTCAATAAGCAAAAAGATAGGACACAGCAAAGAAGACAACTGTGGAATTTATAACATAAGAATACAGAGAGACACAGGCATAGTCAGAAAGATGTTGACAGAAGGAGCAAAAGAGATGGACAGACACAAGCATAGACAGAGACAGAGAGAGCGGATGAACGAATAAGTTTATTTCCATAAGGTCACAAAGGCATGTCTTACATTCAGCCATTTCAAACACTAATCTTTCACACCACAGTTGCGTGATATATCAAGCATACTACGTCCACATTTCAAAATTTAAAGTATGAATGTAAATTAAAATAGAAAAGCATAGACAGCAAATGCATACCTTCAAACATTTATGCAAAAATACACAATGCAGAGCAGACACACATGGGGAGGGGAGAGAAAAAGAGTGAGAGAGAGAGAGGAGGGGAGAGAGAAAGAGAGAAAGGAGAGAGAGAGAGGGAAAGGGGGGAGAAAGAGAGAGCGAGAGAAAATATGCTAACAGTGTATGAGGTACAGTGTTACCCACTTTCTGTTCAGGTCTCCAACTCCCCAGCGGAGGCTCGGGTGGGATGGGTGCCCCTTCACGCAAACTGTCGTCTGTGACATGCTCGATGTCCGGCAAGTACTTGTGTATAATCTCTGCTGTCTCGATAGCTCTGGTCATCGTTGACGAAATGAGGATCGTGTAAGGCAAATCCAATTCTTTCAACCTTTGACCTGTGAGCTCTGCCTGAGCTCGGCCTGAAAGTATATCAATAAGTTGTTACAAGTGTCCAGGTTAGTGTTACAGATTAAGCAAGCAAATTTGTTACAGTGATCACTGTGGCTGGATGCTTGTCTTTGGGGTTGGAGGTTCTGGGTCTGAATCAGGTCAATGCTCTCCGTGTGGGTTCTAGGGCTTCAAAGTGGGGGAAAACCAGAAGAGACCCACTGCCTCCCCAACAAGCATGTCATAGAAGTCGACTAACTGGGAGCTTCCCTCAAAGCCAGCGTGCATCTGCCCGAGAGGCAAGGAACCAAACTGCGCACAAATAAGCCAACAAACTGGATGTACATATAAAACTCAGGTCCTGGTACAAAGCCACAGTCCAAATGAATGAACAAACTGGACTTCCTTCTGGAGCTGACAGCCAGTGAACACAGTGGAGAAGAGGTCATGGTTATGGTTGAGTGACTTGCAGGTATTTTTTTTTTCTTAAGACTCTCAGCTCTAGCCAGGTGCAGTCATTTTCTCCTTCATGCTTTTCCTTCTCCAAGCAACATGGCCTATAGATCCTGTTTGCATGAATTAACCTTAATACATGTTTTAATTCATGTCCCACTTGCTCACATCTTTATTTCATAGCACAGCCCAACATCGACATGGTCTACCCCTTTGTTATACACCAGAGAGGAGGTCTATAGGCAAATTTAGTCAAAAGCTCACTAAAACTGTTGGAAAATCGCACGCAAACATGTCATAGCTCATCCAAACTGCAGAGAAATCTCAGACGTTCATACACAACTCACCCAAACTGGTAAGAAACCTTTCTTTGTCAACAGTTGCATTATCAAAATACTGGCCATGGCGAATGAGGAGAATGTGTCTGCTTGCCGTCGGAGTTTGAGCTTTCAGCTGTTTGTTAAAATCGCTGTCTCCTTCCCCAGACTTTGAGGGAGGTACCAAACTGCGAGGGTCACGTCTAGCACAGAAAAACATAAAATAATTATGCTGCATACACAATCTTGGAATGATTACACTACATACACAATCATGAAATGACTAACTTACATAAACAATCATGAAATGACTAACTTACAGTCACAATCATGAAAAATACTAAACATACAAGCATTATATGACTACACTACACCCACTATCATGTAATGATTACACTACATATACAAGCCCAAAATGATTACACTACGTATACAAGCATGAAATGATTACACAACATATACAAGCCCAAAATGATTACACTACATATACAAGCCCTAAATGATTACACTACATATACAAGCCCTAAATGATTACACAATCATGATATCATTACATTACATATAGTCATGAAGCGACTAACTTACATACACAATCATGAAATGACTAACTTTCACAATGAAATGACTAACTTGCATACACAATAATAAAATGACTAACTTACATACACAAGCATGAAATGATTATACTACATACACAATAATAAAATGACTTCACCACAAACACAATCATGATATGATTACAGTACATATACAATCATAAAATGATTACAGTACATATAAAATCATGAAATGATTCCTGCATTGTGCTCTTGTGTGGCCACACCCCGTTTAACTTGCTGTTTTTGCAGTCTGACCATAGAAAGCCTACAGTCTGCTTATTCCCTTGTACACCCGAGTACCTTGACGGAAAAACACAATTGATCTTTGAAAGTGGTGACTATCTCAGAGACACAAACGACTGCCGGTGGACGTAACTCATGTCTATCTTCCTGAGCATTCTCATTGAGTCACTAAGAAAACATGCCTGAGGTACAAGTTACACAGAACACCTACAAGTCCCCGATAGACACAAGTTTAGAATACTAGACCCGCTGTGTGGGTTCCAGAGCCCTATTGTAGGGGAAACAAGGAATAGACAAACTGTCTTCCCAACAAGTATGTCATAGGAGTCACCTAACTGGAGGTATCCTTCAAAGCTGCAGTACATCTGCCTGAGAGGCAAAGACTAAGAATCTGCATATAAATAAGCCCGGTCTGTGAAACAGATGTGCACACAACACTCGGGTTCTGGTACAAGATTAAAGTCCGGAGGTGGATGAACTCAAAATTTGCCAGTTTACAGCTAATGAACGTGAAGCAGGGGAAAAAGTAAAGGACCATTTTCATGCATTTGGCACATAAAGCATGTATTGTTAGGTCTAGATGTTAATAAACAAATGACACTTTATGAGCGATGTGGTCAACATCAATTTGGTGCCTTTACTTCCCAGGAAATTATCTGATGCATATTTTATAGGATTTATTTATTTGCTTCAGTTTATTTATTAAACTTTCGCTGTAGCACTTGTATACACCTGACGAGATTCAGCGAAATAGGCAGTAGATGGGTTTGTTAGTTTCTTCTTTGTTCAAATTTACAACGGGAAACCATCGCTCTCATTCAAAAGCTACTGACTGACTATTGTTTGAGTTTGAATTAATTCAAATTGTGAAGAAGCCGCCGGTGATACCGACCTGTCCCAGTTGGAGTCCCACTTGACGGACGGCTCGTATCCAGTGGTCCAGGCCGCATGAAGGATGCTACTGCCATTCCACTTGCTGTAGACGACAACTCCAACAACTACGGCGGCGCCAAGTTTCAGCGACTGTTTGGCGACACGGGAGAAGGTACGAAACCGTCTGACATACTGCCTGAACTCCATCTTTGTCAGGGGCAAGTTGCTAGTCACTCTGGAACAAGGCTCACAACTCTGATTTCCCAATCAATCATGGGGCCGTCTTCACAATCCTTTTATTTCCCATGTGGGTTCCAGGTACCCATGGGATTGGGAGAAAATGGCGAGGCTTGACCCAATGCACCTTGGCACTGATGTCGATAATGACGGTTAATTCGGGGTGGGTTTTTTTTCGAAGTCGGAGTGCATCTGCTTGCAAGGCGAGGAGCCAACAGACTGCATACAAACAAGTCAGATCTGTAAAACGGATGTATACACAACACTCAAGTTCTGAAACGAAACGAAGGTACAGAAGTAGATGAACAACCAGTACTTTCCCGCTGGAGTTTACAGCTGGTGAACTCTAAGAAGAAGAACATATTTCCAGGGCTTTTTTTTTTGTTTTAGAAAAAATATGCCAATACTCACCATGGGTGTCTTAAAAGTATCGGTGTTCACCACATAGTGTCTAAGAAGTACCGGTGTTCACCTCAAAGTGTCTAAAAAGTACCGATATTCACAACAACAAAAAAGTACAGATATTCAAGTGTGTAAAAAGTTGCCAGTACTTATCGTAAAGTGTCTATAAAAAGTTCCAGGACTTACCACAGTTTTAAAAAAGTGGCAGTATTCACCAGAAAGTGTATAAAAATGACTCTAGTATAGTCTATAGTCTACTTAGAGTACATTGTTACAAAGATGTTGTTGGTGATGCCTATTAATCCTGTTATTATTATTATTATTATTATTATTATTATCATCTGCTCAAACAATGTGTGCTTAAATAATGTATGCATGCCATAAGGCCAGAAGGGCAGAATGTAAGACGGGCCTGTGTGCCTAATTCTTAAACCTTTGAAAATAAAGTTTGTTTGTTTGTTCGTTGTGACTGTATAGTTATGTTGTAGGTCTGTGTTATATTCCTGGGTCATTACCCACGTGAGAGATTCTTTGGAAAGGATGTCACTTTTTTTTTGGGGGGGGGGGGGGGGGCAGAATAATTTTGTTATATGGGGAAAGCTGTGTCTTTTCAGTCGGTTTTTAGTTAAGTTATTTGCTATTCTGTACGTTTTCAAAGGGTTAGGAAATTATTGTGAAGAGAACAAGTTGGTAAGGAAAAACAAACAGTTTATGTTAGCTTTACAAAATCGATCACAATAAACAAACAAAGGACGTTGCGGCGATTAGCCTTCATCAGCACATAAAGAAAAACACAGTACACATACATAAATATGCTCTAACTATGAAGTGACTACATGGGACTGTCTGTGCGTGGGGTTGCTGTTCATGCGTTTATATTTTTCTGTTAAGGTAAACACATTTTCTTCTCTTTAATGGCTCAAACACTGGGGGCCAGAAGTTGCCTCTAACTCGTTGATTGGTGTGCTCTAATACCTCCATTAATGATTCTGAGACCTTGTTAGTTGCGTATCCTTTACAGGACGTAGCAGAACCAACTACAGAATTTTTTGGCTGTTGTGGTTTTTCTAGGCAAATTTACGTAAAGTATTTTGCCATTGCTTTCTGTGCGGTCGGCTTCTCGGTACCCCCGTCGAAACCAACGAAATGCGCAGGGCCAGCAGCTGGGATCGAACCCGGCACCTCGACGTTACGAGACGCGTTCGAAACACCTTTGCCACAGACGCCGACGATTCTGAAACCAGTTTTCTGTATTTTGTCCAGTTTGTTTAGATTTTGTTTGGCGGCAGAGGAGTATGCCCCGCAGTTTTGGTCGTACTTATTCTGTGTATACTTGTTGAACTGTGTGGGCATCTGCACCCCAACTTGTTCCAGTACGTTTCTTCATTAGTCCGAGCAGCAGATTAGCTTTCCGTCGGGTGTCTTTGATGAGGGGGGGGGGGTGCAAGATTAGTCTTTTATCAATTTGTACTCCCAAATATGTGGTGTTGTCCTCTTTTGGAAGGATGTTGCGTTCTAGATATCAACTTGTTCTAGCTTTGTGGAGAGAGAGAGAGAGAGAGAGAGAGAGAGAGAGAGAGAGAGAGAGAGAGAGAGAGAGAGAGAGAGAGAGAGAGAGAGAGATTTAGTCTGGTTTATTGTGACTCCCCAAAAGTCTATCCGCTTCTTAATTGTATTTTAGCTTCCTGCATTTTAGTTTTAGTTCTTCCTTAGTTTTTAGCTTGGGCCCATATAGCCAGGTTTGCTCCAAGTAGGGCCTTGTGAATGCAAGTCGTGAACTGTTCGGTGGGGGGGGGGGGGGTGTCCACGATTGAAAAGAATAAACAAGGTAGGAGGAGTTATATGCCGCCCTGAGGGACACCTTCTTGCAGTCTGACCAGCTTGCTCTTGTATTTTTCTAGTCTGACTCTCCAGCAGCGTCTGTAATGAAAGTCTTTAATTCAGGCAAATGTATGTCCTTTTATCACGCTGTGTGTTAGTTTTAGCAAAAGTCCTTTCTTCCAGACCACGTGAAAGGCCTTGGTCACGTCAAAGAAAGTCGCTAGCAGTTTGTATTTTCTTTTCTCTGGAAGGCATCTTCAATTTCCCGTGCGAGGTAAGAGGTTTGGTCAGGGCTTATGTATATCCCGAAGCCAGATTAGCTGTCATCCGACATCTCGTTTTCTTTCAGGAAATTAAGTAACCTGATGTTCACTAATCTTTCCATGGTCTTTGATACCTTTGACTATGAGACTTATGGGGCGGTAACTAAATTTGTTTTCCTTGGGCTTACCTTTCTTGGCTATGGGGACTAGTTATGTCTCCTTCCATTCTTTAGGAAGTATTCCTTAGGTACAGGAAGATTTGTACGGTTATAATTTATATAATATTATTTATACATATACTACAACGACTGCTGCTGCTATTAGTAACATTACTACTACCACCTGCCGCCACCACCACTAGTAGTGCTACTCTTGCTGGTACTACTGCTGCTACTACTACTACTACTACTACTACTACTACTACTACTACTACTACTACTACTACTACTACCACTACTACTACTACTACTACTACTACGATGCCGACGACGACGACCGCTACTACTACTCTTACTTCTACAATGACATCGATCACCCTTACAACTATAAATCTGCAAAGGTGAGATAAGTAGATAACCTTTTTAATAAATCTAGAGTAGCTGCCCTTTCACAAACAATATTGCGCGAACTGAAGAAACCAAAACATTGACATCAATGACACCTGCACTTCTTCTATCGTTCTGTTTGAATTTCACGCCTGATGTTAACTACATGTGAACTGAACTGAACGGCCTTTAATTGATATATCAGCTATACCGTTTTCAGTTTTCCTCAGTGAATAGTTCATTTTCTTGAAACTTTTTAATTTTACACGTGCTAGTCACTAGTCGAATCACTGGTCTACTTACATACACTTCTGCTACAGTAAAGTGAGACAAGTTGTCAGTGAAGTTTATATATAGAGTTCATCAGTATTTGACTGGGCGACATTTATTAGCCTAGGCATTGCAGCTGACATTTGCCACCATCTGCGTCGTCGCTCTTCGGCAAATGCTAACAGCTGATGATAATTTTCTTATTCTATGAAGTACTGTCTCAGCGTGGACTACTTTGTAGCAGTAGTTTTATAGAAATAGAATAGATTTGCTGTTATTCTAAATCTACAATCAAATAAATAAAATCGTATTTTTGGTGAAGTCATAGATCCAATCAATCGTGAACAAAAAACACAAGTCGTTTTCAATGTTTAGTTTGCAAATGAACAATATCAGTTTACTGAACACTTGAGAAAGATCATGATAGCAGTCATGAACCATGTACAAATTAGCACTTAGGCTACTACAAATTTCTCTATCAGCTGTAGCACACACAGGACATGATAAATGTGTATTGAAGTTAATATAACAAGTGGCAGCAAATAAACATCACAGTTTCATGATTATATCTTACATTTGGCAAATATGAAATGCTGTGGAATGTGGCTGTCAATCATGGGATGCTGCAGAAATAGCTACAATCTCACAAGAACAGGTGCCACATCCAAACACTTATCTGGCAGACTTGGATTTAAATTTGAAATTTTTGAAAGATCTTTCACCAAAGAGGCAGAGAATGGAGGAAATAATCACATCTCAGCAGGTACTATTCAACAGGTAAGGCAGTGAGAATGGTACTTCTTCTTTTTCTTCTGCTTCACCGGCTGTAAACTCTGGGAGGAAAGTTCTGGTTGTTTGTCCACCTCTTGTTCTAGAACCTGAGTGTTGCATGCACATCTGTTTAACAGATCTGACTTAATTGTTTGCAGCCTGTTGGTTCCTTGCCTCTCAGGCATATGCATTCCGACTCCAAAAGAAGCACCTAATTACTTGACTCTTACGTCAGGCTTGTTAGGGAGGCAGTGGGTCTGTTCTTGTTTTCCCTCACAACTGGGCCCCGGAACCCACACAGGGAGCATTAGTACTATATGGGAGGTTATATAAAGTGTTAAACAAATGTTATCACAACATATGTTTTGACAACTTATGTTATGACAACATATAAACAAGTAATTGAGAGAGCGGCCGTTACCGTAGTGAACTCTACTCTCAAGCAGAGATGATCTCAGTTGTTAGGCTCTATATTTTAAATAAAGAATGGAAGCATTCCCGAAGATCTACTTCACGGAAAACCAGCCACAAGAAAGAGGTTAACCAGAAGACCCCAAAAGTAATTAAGGATGTCTGTAAACATGATAGGAAAACCCATGGCATAGATACAAAAACATGCCAGAGACTTGTAGCAGACACAAACTCCTGGAGAAAAGATGTGTGAAACAGACTGCTGCTGTTTGAACAAAATCTGATCAGATGAACTGAGGACAAAAGCCACAAGAATAAAATGGAGTAAGTTGCTGTAAGACCTGCCTCATCTCACAGATACAGTCGATATGGGAGATTGTCAGCTTCACATTAGACTATATAGTTGCCAGCAGTGCAGTCAGACACCTGCCCAGTCACCTTCACATTTAACTATAAAGTTGCCATCAGTGCAGTCAGACACTTGCCCAGTCTCCTTCACATTGGACTATATAATTGCCAGCAGTGCAGTCAGAAACATGCCCAGTCACCTTCACATTGGACTATATAATTGCCAGCAGTGCAGTCAGACACTTGCCCAGTCGCCTTCACATTGGACTATATAATTGCCAGCAGTGCAGTTAGACATCTGCCCAGTCACCTTCACATTGGACTATAAAGTTGTCTGCAGTGCAGTCAGACACTTGCCCAGTCACCTTTACATTGGACTATAAAGTTGCCAGCAGTGCAGTCAGACACCTGTCCAGTGGCATAGCCTACAGTCCTTAAGAACTGAAAGAAGTCCTGCAATAATTATGACTGTTAGTAGTGTTACTTTAGCAGAAGTCATGGTTGTTTGTGTGAATCTGGCAAGTATGTTCCCTTCTTGGTTATAGCTAATAAGAGCAACACATGTACATATTTTAAATGCATGAGTTCTTATGACCTTTTTCTTCTTATAATCCATGCTGTGTTGTGTTGGTGGTCTTGTCTATCCACAGTCTTCTGTCTTGTGTACTTTAATCAGTTCTGACACAGATGATCTTATCTTCCATGGGATACTGTCAAACATCTTCTCTCCCAACCTATCTCTGCCACTCCAACTTGCCAGCTGTCACAGTGTACTCCTGTTTTCTCTTTCTCGTGATGTGACACAAGAATGTAAATTGTTGCTTTCTGATGTGGGTAATCAGTTCCCTGTGTCTGCAATATAGCTGGAAAAAACAAAAACTCTTTTAGTTCTGCCAGTCTGTATTTTCATATATATATATATATATATATATATATATATATATGTATGTATATATATATATATATATGTATGTATATATATATATATATATACACACACACACACACATATATATATATATATATATATATATATATATATATATATATATATATATATATATACAAACACACACACACACACACACACATATATATATGTATAAATAGGCTTTAATGACAATTTATCTTTTCATACTGAACTTTTAAAATTATTTTCTGTTGTTGCAAGTGGCCTTGTTAAACAACAAAAACAGCTGCGTTACATTAATAGTTAGTTGACAAATCATCCTCATTGTGCATGAGACTATTTAGTCCATCAGTGCTCGGATCTCCTCCTCGGTATATCTGTCAACATTTTGCTGCCGACGACACCAATTCTCACTTCTATGGTAGTTAATATTTTTTGATTTCCTTGATGGTGCTCTTGTCTAGTCACACCCCAATCTTCTTTGTTCACCGGCTGTAAGCTTTCCGCTGGAAAGTCCTGGTTATTTGGACTGTGGCTTTGTGCCAGGGCCTGAGTTTTATGTGTACATAGCTTTACTGGCTTATTTGCGTGCAGTTGGTTGTTTCTTGCTGCTCGGGCAGATGCTCTGACTTTTGTGGAAGCTCCCAATGAGTCGACTCTTAGGACATGCTGTTTTGGGTAGGCAGTAGCTCTGTTCTTGTTTTCCTCACAATGGGCCCCTGAAATCCACACAGGAATAAACCCCACTTAACTTGTTGCAGATTCACAGCCGTCATTTGTTTCTGGCAAATGTTGTGTGTCACGTCACTTTTTTGAGCTAACATCTGTGTCACTGGGATCTTGTTTCAGGTGCTGGTCGACCTGAAAATGAAAGTAGAGTACGGTCACACTTCCATCATTACTCAGTGTCCGAAGGTTAATCGGACAGCACAAAGCTCAAAGTCAGACAATTTGTACATTAACACAACCTCAGGTGAGTTGTTTCCCTTTGGGTTGTTTATGTGAGGGTTGGGTGCAGTACAATTAAAGGTTTTTATTTCCAGTATAAATACCTTGGGTATGTAATGCTGGAGTCATATTTTTGTAGACCAGTCGGCTGTTGGTGGTCGACTGTTAAGGGTCGGCTTTTGATAGTCGACTGTTGGTGGTCGGCTCTTGATGGTTGGCTGTTGAAGGTCGGCATTATGCTAGAAATAAACAGATTTCCAGGACATGAGGGGCCTCTTCTGGCAGTGGTGAAATGTTGCAAGCTAACTTGGTTCTGGCACATGGTGAGGCATGATTCAGTTGCAAAGATTATACTTTATGGAACATTATGGGGTTGGGGGTAAATTCATATAAAAGGGGACAAAGAAGAAACTGGAATAACAAGAAAAAGAAATACACTTCTTCAACAGGCAGAAGACAGAGAAATCAGGTTAGCTTTATGTGCTTATGCTTCCATCACTTCATCTCCACGACCGTAATGGGTCAAGGGTTATGTTATTGTGCCAGCCTTCTTGACTCCTTATATTTCTTAGTACTTATTTTTAGACAGGCCAACTTGGGAGCCAAAGTTTTTTGTATTAAAAAAAATCTTTTTAGTGTGTATTTGAACCCAAGACCTTTGGATCAATGGGCAAGCATCTAGTCATTGCTACCACAAACATCCCATGTATGCGTCCCTGCCCACACCTAGCGTGAACATAAAAACGCCCATGCTCACACATACACACAAGATTCAGTTCTACATATTGTGATAAATGCCTTGTTGAAGACATCAAAAACAGAAGTATGATCCCCTTGTGGTTTCTGGTGCTCCCATTGTGGGAGGAGAAAGAAGAAGAGAGTATTGTCCCCTAACAAGCATGACATAGAAGGCCCAACACCTCACCAAGCCCTGGGAGGAGAGTTCAACATCAGCATCAGAAGTGGTCAAATCAGAGAGGAGTGGCTACACAGCTACCTACTACTGTTACCAAAACCAAATAAAGACCATTCCAAGATCAGTGGCTACAGAATCATTACCATGCAGAACACTACAGGCAGGCATCTGGATAAAATTGTAGCACGGAGACTCGCTGACAACTTGGAAAAGCATGACAGATTACCATCCACACTTGGGGGATACAGACGAAACAAAGAGACATGGCTCAATGCAACAGTCTTCGCCTGTGAAGTCTATCTATGAAGGTTTTTAGGTGAGAGAAGAAGGTGACTGATTAAGGGAGTTTCTTTCAAAGTCAGATTGCATCTGCCTAGGGGACGAGATCTGTAAAACTGTTGTGAGAGCAACAACAACAACAAAAAGTTATGGAACAAGACTAAAGTCCAGAAGTGGAACAAGACTAAAGTCCAGAAGTGGAACAAGACTAACGTCCAGAAGTGGAACAAGACTAAAGTCCAGAAGTGGAACAAGACTAAAAAAGTCCAGAAGTGGAACAAGACTAAAGTCCAGAAGTGGAACAAGACTAAAGTCCAGAAGTGAAACAAGACTAAAGTCCAGAAGTGGAACAAGACTAAAGTCCAGAAGTGGAACAAGACTAAAAAAGTCCAGAAGTGGAACAAGACTAAAGTCCAGAAGTGGATCAACAACCGGACCTTTCTGCCTGAATGTAACCACAGCCGGTGAACACTAAGAAAAAGGTGCATGATGCAAATTGTAAAACGAGTAAAGAATTTGTCACACTGAAAAGACAGGGAGACTCGGATAAGGAAAATATTTTGTGAAATGCTGTGTAACAGCAGCAAAAGAAATGTAACACTGAGGTCACAGAGGGAAGAAAATGGAGAACTCACAACAACAGCATGCAACTAGAATAAGGTCCACAGAAATGTAACACTGAGGTCACAGAGGGAAGAAAATGGAGAACTCACAACAACAGCATGCAACTAGAATAAGGTCCACAGAAATGTAACACTGAGGTCACAGAGGGAAGAAAATGGAGAACTCACAACAACAGCATGCAACTAGAATAAGGTCCACAATGACAAGAGGATAAGACAACATAGAATGAAAACAGTATATGTGTCACTGAGGTCATAGAGAATTAAATGATGAATACACATTAGCATTGCAACTAGGTCCGCAATGATGAGAGGATAAGACAAAAATGAATGGAAACAATATATGAAACCTACACAACCTCTGTATATTCATTAACTGAAAAAGTCTTTTACTGATGAATTGTAACCAGGACATTTTGTGTGCGAGCACTGCAATAAGCAAGGGACCTGGCCAGACCTGCTGGACAACCTGATGTTGCTGAAAACACAAAAGAAGAGGTAAGTATTATTGGATGAGTTTTCTCATTTCTGTCTGGTAGAATTCTCATGTCCAACCAGTGCTGCTGTATGCAGCGGAAACATGGAGAACAACTAAAATAGTTACTAATAAACTAAACACATTTATTAACTGATGCCTGTACAGAACAGAGGGAATTAAATTGTATGATAGAAAAACTATTGTAGAGCTTTAGGAGAGAACTAAACAAGTTCCTGTGGACCAAGAGGTAAAGAAAAGATGCTGGCATTGGACAGGACACACGTTAAGAAAATCTGAAAACAGTATAACTAGAATGTCTTTTTACTGGAACCTACAACAACAGCCTTGAAAAAGTCAACAGTTTCACTTATCTAGGGAGCAAGATGTCATCTACAGGAGATACCGCACCAGAAATACCATTTAGAATAGCACTGGCATCTAGTGCCTTCAATAAACTATCTAACATCTGGAAATCAAAGACACTTAGCAAACACACAAAACTCAAGATCTTCAATTCTTGTGTGATTCCAGTACTAACCTATGGATGCGAGAGCTGGAAATCAACGAAAACTCTAGACACAAAATTAGACAGTTTTGAAAATAAATGCCTTAGAAGAATACTAAATTTCAAATGGTCAGATTTTCGAACAAATACACAAATAAGGCAAGAATCCAGGCAAGAGTATGTGTCTAATTTTATACGAAAACGCCGCTGGAACTATGTCGGCCACTCCCTTAGAATTGATAAATCAAGACTTCCTTACCAAGCCCTCATTTGGACACCACAGGGGAAAAGATCTCGTGGAAGACCAAGGGAAACCCTACGTAGAACTATCATCAGGGAAGGCTCGCTCATGGGCCACTCAAACATCCAAGACCTACAACGGATTGCAACGAACCGCCATGCATGGAGAGTCATGACCTCTGCCCTATGTGCCGCACTCGACACAAGAGGAAAGACTAACTAACTAACAAGGGCATAGAAATAAAGACACGCCAAAAACACATGGACAAGGGAGCTAGAGAGTAAAGTTAAAAAGATAGGAAGGACATGAGGTGATCTGTATGCAATAATGAATGAGAGAGCAACTTGGAATGTGTTGCTTGAGGGTATATGTTCCACTCGGAGATTGACGGAAGCAGAAGAAGAAACATAGTTCTGTCTCATAAAAACATCATTTAGACTCCTGCCAGTTCACCATACAGTGGCATGTCTCCTCACAACATTAGTTAGTGACATGTTTGTTCTACCAATACACAAGACATAAGTGATCATGTCACTTGTCACCTTGTGTGTCATTACCTCACCCTGTCTCCTGCTTCTTGTTCTTTATTTATAACTGTACCACAGTCCAAGTCGGCTATGTGGCTGTTGATGCGAACGCTTTGCAATGCCGGGTTCGATCCCAACTGCGGGCCATGCGCCTTGCGTTGGTTTCGACAGTGTTATCAAGAAAGCCGACCGTCCAAAAAGCAATGGCAAACTGCTGGACATAAATTTGCCTAGAAAAACCACTGCAACATCCTGTAAAGGATACGCAACTAACCTTTAACCACAGTCCAAAGGTTTTGTGTTTGCATCTGCATCAGATTGGATTTTCTCAAAAAACTGACCTTGACTCCCAGGCCGACCCAGGCTAAAATTGTTGGCACACTTTTGTCTTTCAAGGCCCTGGTATTATATTGTGCTATGAGGAGGAATGGGACTCACAACCCAGGGTAAGGCCAGGGATGAAGTTCCTCCTCTGCATAAATTGTGCTATGAGGAGGCATGGGACTCACAACCCATGGTAAGGACTGGGATAAAGTTCCTCCTCTCCTTAAATTGTGCAATGAGGAGGCATGGGGCTCACAGCCTACAGTAAGGTCAGGGATAAAGTTCCTCCTCTCCTTAAATTGTGCAATGAGGAGGCATGGGACTCACAGCCTACAGTAAGGTCAGGGATAAAGTTCCTCCTCTCCACAAAGTGTGCTAAGAGGAGGCACAGGACTCACAGTCCATAGTAAGGCCAGGGATAAAGTTCCTCCTAGCACTAGCACAAAACCTGGGCAGTTTTGTAGAGACCACATGTTGGTCCCTCTCTTGGCCTGCCTTGTTTACTTTGAACGAAAGGTAACACCATTACGTTGCAGCCTAAAAGGGTTACCAGGTAATATCCTGAGAAGTAAAGGCGACTCATGTGATTAAAAAACATTTTTTTAAAATTACCAAAGTACTGATTGGTTGGTCTGTCACAATAGGATTCTAACATCAAATGCCGAATGTACCACTGGCTTAAAAAGGTTCCTGTAGTTTTCTAAATGCTATAGCCAATTTTTTGACACTGTTGACCTCTGAACTTTATGTCAAAGGTTAGGGTTCACCTGTTTTAAAGACCTGGAAACAGTCACGCCTTTTCTTCAAGACCTTCCATCAGCGAGAGAGCTCGTGTCCAGCTGTGTCCCTTTTGGTTCTTTGCAAGATGATGTTGCTCACAGATTAAAGGAGACATTTGGCTTAGAGGTTTGTCATGTGATCTGTATATAGAGTGTGTGAGCATCTGCTGTTTTGTAGTTAGAACAGACATGTGGCTTAGAGGTTTGTCATGTGATCTGTATATAGAGTGTGTGAGCATCTGCTGTTTTGTAGTTAGAACAGACATGTGGCTTAGAGGTTTGTCATGTGATCTGTATATAGAGTGTGTGAGCATCTGCTGTTTTGTAGTTAGAACAGACATTTGGCTTAGAGGTTTGTCATGTGATCTGTATGTAGAGAGTGTGTGAGCATCTGCTGTTTTGTTGTTAGAACAGACATGTGGCTTAGAGGTTTGTCATGTGATCTTTGTATAGAGAATATTTGAGCATCTGCTGTTTTGTAGTTAGAACAGACATTTGGCTTTGAGGTTTGTCATGTGATCTGTATGTAGAGAGTGTGTGAGCATCTGCTGTTTTGTAGTTAGAACAAACATTTGGCTTTGAGGTTTGTCATAGGATCTGTATGTAGAGAGTGTGTGAGCATCTGATGTTTTGTAGTTATAACAAACATTTGGCTTTGAGGTTTGTCATGTGATCTGTATATAGAGAGTGTGTGAGCATCTGCTGTTTTGTAGTTATAACAAACATTTGGCTTTGAGGTTTGTCATGTGATCTGTATATAGAGAGTGTGTGAGCATCTGCTGTTTTGTAGTTATAACAAACATTTGGCTTTGAGGTTTGTCATAGGATCTGTATGTAGAGAGTGTGTGAGCATCTGCTGTTTTGTAGTTAGAACAGACATTTTTCTTTGAGGTTTGTCATGTGATCTGTATATAGAGAGTGTGTGAGCATCTGCTGTTTTGTAGTTAGAACAGACATTTTTCTTTGAGGTTTGTCATGTGATCTGTATATAGAAAGTGTGTGAGCATCTGCTGTTTTGTAGTTATAACAAACATTTGGCTTTGAGGTTTCTCATGTGATCTGTATCTGTGAGTGTGTGAGCATTTGCTGTTTTGTAGTTAGACATTTGGCTTAGAGGTTTGTCATGTGATCTGTATATAGAGAGTGTGTGAGCGACTGCTGTTTTGTAGTTAGAACACCTTACTATTTGTTTGATTTGACACAATTACTTATCAGAAAATCCCCCGTGTGGGTTCCGGGGCCCTATTGTGGGGAAAACAAGAATAGACCCACTGCCTCCCCAAAAGCATGTCGTAAGAGTCGACTAACTGGGGAGCTTTCTTTGAAGTCAGAGTGCATCTGCCTGAGAGGCAAGGAACCAGAAGTCTACATTCAATTAAATCAGATCTGTAAAACTGATGCACACGCAACACTCAGGTTCTGGAGCAGGACTGCAGTCCAGAAGTGGACGAACAACCAGAACTTTACGCCAGAGTGTACAGCTGGTGAACGTGAAGAAGAAGAAGATATCAGAAAATATTGTCATTCACTGCAGCAACATAATGGATTTAAAAAAAAAATAGTAGAGTTGAATGTGGGAAGATAGTGGGGTTGACAGTGGGTTGATAGTGGGATTGACTGTGGGAAGATAGTGGGATTGACTGTGGGAAGATAGTGGGGTTGACAGTGGGAAGATAGTGGGATTGACTGTGGGATTGACTGTGGGAAGATAGTGGGCTTGACAGTGGGAAGATAGTGGGATTGACTGTGGCAAGATAGTGGGATTGACTGTGGGAAGATAGTGGGATTGACTGTGAGAAGATAGTGGGGTTGACAGTGGGAAGATGGTGGGAAGACGGTAGGATTGAATTTGGGGAGATAATAGGATTGAACGTGTGAAGGCATTATGATTTATAAAGTATGGGGCTTTATGGACTAATTATAATCAAGGACAGGAGGACAACCTAACTAATGATCAAGATTAATGGTAGGAAGGTGAATGTGCTAATAGTGAATGATGATGAGAAGGTGACCATACTAATGGTGAATAATGGCAGAAAGGTGACCATACTAATGGTGAATAATGGCAGAAAGGTGACTATACTAATGGTGAATAATGACAGGAAGGTAACTATACTAATGGTGAATGACGTTAGCAAGGTGACTATACTAATGTCATAATGTCTGGTTCTTCCCTGCAGGTGCTGAAAACAGGAACTCTCGATCGGTTCGGTGTACGCTGTAACCATCACCACAACTACGTGATATTTCCTGTGATTGTTAATGGTTGTGTACAGAGTGTGAAGAAAATCACGTGTCATTCACAGACTGATGAGGTGATTGGCACCTTGAGGGAGTCTTATATTCCTAGGTAAACCTCTCTATTTGGATGTATGTGTTCCCGTGTGGGTTCTGGGGCCCCATTGTGGGAATAACAAGAATAGATCCACTGCCTCCCCAGCAAGCATGTCCAAAGGGTGGACTAATTGGCGTCTTCCTTTAAAGTTGGAGTGCATATTCCTGAGAAGCAGGAAACCAGCAATTTGCAAACAGAATGCCAGATCTGTAACAGAGAAATGCATGCAACACTAGGGCTCTGGAACAAGACTAACATCCAGAGTTGGACGAACAACCAAAACTTTGCCAGTGAACTCGAAGAAGAGTACACCTTGATCTCGTGTGTTTACTGTAATCATCGGTGCGCCTTGTTCTGTGTATGTGTATTATAATCATCTGTACGCCTTGATCTGTGTATGTGTATTATAATCGTTGTACACCTTGATCTGTTTCATGTGTTTACTGTAATCATCGATGCGCCTTGCCTTGATTTGTGTATGTGTATTATAATCGTCTGTAAACCTTGATCTGTGTATGTGTATTATGATCATCTGTACACCTTGATCTGTGTATTTGTAATATAATCGTCTGTACACCTTGATCTGTCTCGTGTGTTTACTGTAATCATCGGTGCGCCTTGCCTTGATTTGTGTATGTGTATTATAATCATCTGTATGCCTTGATCTGTGTATGTGTATTATAATCATCTGTACACCTTGATCTGTGTATGTGTATTATAATCATCTGTATGCCTTGATCTGTGTATGTGTATTATAATCATCTGTACACCTTGATCTGTGTATGTGTATTATAATCATCTGTATGCCTTGATCTGTCTCGTGTGTTTACTGTAATCATCGGTGCGCCTTGATCTGTGTATAATAATCATCTGTACACCTTGATCTGTGTATGTGTATTATAATCATCTGTATGCCTTGATCTGTCTCGTGTGTTTACTGTAATCATCGGTGCGCCTTGATCTGTGTATAATAATCATCTGTACACCTTGATCTGTGTATGTGTATTATAATCATCTGTATGCCTTGATCTGTGTATGTGTATTATAATCATCTGTATGCCTTGATCTGTGTATGTGTATTATAATTGTCTGTACACCTTGATCTGTCTCGTGTGTTTACTGTAATCATCGGTGCGCCTTGCCTTGATCTGTGTATGTGTATTATAATCATCTGTACACCTTGATATGTGTATGTGTACTGTAATCATTGGTACACTTTGATCTCTGTGTGTACTCTGTATGTATATGTACTGTAGTCATTGGTACACTTTCATCTGTGTGTGTATACTGTATGTGTGTACTGTAATTATCAGTACACTTTGATCTGTGTGTATGCGTGCATGTATGCATACTGTAATTATCGGTACACATTGATCTGTTTGGGTGTGCATATGAATGTGTACTATAATCATCAGTACGCCTTGATCTGTGTAAGGGCATGTGCTGTTGTGCACTGTAATCAGGTATGTCGTACGTTGTGTACACTGGCTCCCACACAAGTATACCTCTTACTGTCATGGCTGACACTCTGCACTCAGAGGAAAGGCAAGAGGATAAATAATCAAACTGCTTCTTGTGACTTGGAATTGGAACTCTTTGTTGGCTGCTGAGAATGAGAAGAGAGCATTTATGGGAATGTCCCAAGTGCTGCTTTGTTGGTTCCTAACTCATCTCAGCTCTGTACCTGGTCTAACCACCAAAGAATAGACTGATGTATTACTGATTTTAAAACTCATGCTACTACCTACAGAATAGACTGATGTATTACCGATTTTTACTACCAAAGAAAAGACTGACGTATTACCAATTTTTTAACTCATGTTACTACCAAAGAATAGACTGATGTATTACCAGTTTTATATCTCATGTTACTACCAAAGAATAGACTGATGTATTACCAATTTTTACTACCAAAGAATAGACTGACGTATTACCAGGTCTATATCTTGTGATACTACCAAGGGACATACTGAGGTATTACAAGGTCTATATCTTGTGATACTGCCTACAGAATAGACTGAGTTTTTACTGAGTTACTGTTTTACTACCAAGGGATACACTGAGGTATTGGCAGGTCTATATCTTGTGATACTACCTACAGAATAGACTGAGTTATTACCGAGTGTATGCCTTGTGTTACTACCAGTGAATAGGCTGAGGAATTACCAAGTCTGTCAACTTGATATCAAACTGTTCCAGGACAGGTACAACAGGTGTGTTTGGACTGGACACTGTGGCGCCCACTACCACTGATGTTGTTTTGACCAGTTCTGAAGTTGATGCGATGGCTGTGGTTCAGGAAACAAAAATGGCAGCAATAGCTCTACCTCGGGGGTATAACTCTTTACCACAGGAGGTAAGTTTGTGTGTGGATGTTTATTTTGCCACTAGAGTTGAGCTGCTGCTTCTTCTTCTTCTTCTTTTTCTTCTTCTTCTTCTTCTTCTTCTTCTTCTTCTTCTACTACTGCTGCTGCTGCTCCTCCTTCTTCTTCTTCTCCTCCTCCTTCTTCTTCTCATTCTTTCATTCGCCTAAAGTAAGTTTTCTTCTTCTTCGCATTTACCAGCTGTAAACTCAGGGGGAAAGTTCTGGTTGTCATCCACTTCTGGACTGCAGCCCAGCTCCAGAACCTGAGTGCTGCGTGTACATCCATTTTACAGGTCTGACTCATTTGTATGCAGAATACTGGTTCCTTGCCTCTCAGGCAGATGCACTCTGACTTTGAAGGTAACTCCCAATTTGTCAGCTCTTACGATATGCTTCTGGGTAGGCAGTGGGTCTATTCTTGTTTTCTATGTATTAGGGCCTTGGAACCCACAGGGGGAGTAAGTTGTCTATATCAGCAGTGTTGTCTCTCCTGTAAATTTCGCGGTCCTGTTTAGTTCACTCATTAGTTCGTAGAGTGCTTTCCACTGATGTTCTTTCTGGCCAAAAGGTTTGCCCTTATTTGTCATATTCAGTGCTTTCCTGGGAGACATGTTCTGTTGTCTGGGTGACACATGGCTGATGATACCTTTATCTTAAATTTGTGTACAGGTGGTTGCATAATCAGTTGTGTCTTGTTCTGAGGTGCAGGAGAATGACTTTTTCTGATCTTTCCGAAATATAATTGTCCTCTTATACTGGGGCTGGTGGTTTTCTGATTGATTGTCTTATCATTTTCTGTTAGTGGTGTGTAACTGGTACATCTAGTCGCTCTTTTATCACATCTTCACCTGCCAGTTGATCAGCTCTATCATTTCTGGACAATCCACAATGGGACGATATCCAGTGTATTGCGACTCTGCGCTGACAGCCGAGTTTAGACAGCAGCATTAGTAATTCTGGAAATTTCCCAGACTGGAGTACTGATTTTGCATCTGATACTGATTGTTAGCTCAGGCGGTCATGGTTCTTTGGTCATGGGATGAGAAGAGAACATTTGGTGACTGGAAAGAACAGTGGTAGAAGAGGCTTGTGAGTCTGATCCCTGAAATAGTGCAAAGAGGCTGTATTTGTAATTTTTGCAGTATTTTTTTCTTGCAGGTTTTGCCAAGCCTGGAAAGATTTAAAACAATTATCTTATGGTTTGGCGATGATATCCGGGCTTGGGAATCTGCCAAGTTGTTCTCCAAGAAACTCAACAGCAAGCGGTGTCATATTATTCGGTGAGTTGACAGTATAACTTGATGTCATCTTGTCGGCCATGTTCTATGTATAAAAATAAGAGAGAGAGAGAGAGAGATGTAGATTTCTCCATTGTGAAGTGTTTAACTCGTTTTCCTCACAACCTAAAGGTTGTGGATTCAGTGCTTGCTGTGCATCTATTCCAGCGTAGGCAGCGAACAGTTTGGTGCACATGGACTTTCATCTTGTTGGAGACAGCTAGCTATGGAGAAGCACGGTCGCCTACACCACTTGTCAAGGCACTTGATGATGATGGAAGAGGATAAGGGTTATAGAATTTATTGTGGGTTATTCTGTTTAATGAACATGAGAGTTATCCTGAACAATAAGTGAGGTTAAGCGGTCATGAGTAGGATGTGATTTATGGAAGAATCCTTGGATGGCAGAGCACTGTGTGGGTTCCGGGGTCCCATTGTGGGGAAAACAAGAATAGACCCACTGCCTTCCCAGCAAGCATGTTGTAAGAGTTGACTAATTGGAGGCTTCCTTTAAAGTCTCAGTGCATCTGTCTGAGAGGCAAGGAACCAACATTCTGCAAATGAATAATTCAGATTGTAAAATTGATGTGCACGCAACACACTGGTTCTGGAACAAGACTAAACTCCACAGGTGGACGAACAAACCAGAACTTTACACCAAAGTTTACAGCTGATGAAGAAGAAAAAAAGATGGCAGAGTGTGTTTATTTTCTGCCTCTTGCCTTCTCTTGTTGGTTGACCAGCATTGCATGGCTGCCCTGGGCTGGCCTCATAGGGGGCACCACCTGTGAACTAGGAGGTAAAGATGACAACAAGGAGACTGTATAGTGTCCCACAAAGGTAACGGAGAAGCTAACCCAGGCAACAGATGCCTGAAGAACGGTGCCAATATCACAGTCATGCTGTAAACAAGCACACAAATGAACAGAGGGGAACCCGTGGGGCGGTATAAATATTATACATGATAACCAAACAGACATTGTATTGATTGGCGCTCATATAGAGAAGTAGAATGTTGTTGAATTTTTACTTAAGAATCAACATCACAGCACTTGGGACACCCGTATAAGTACTCCCTCCCCATCTTCAGCAGCAAGCGAAGAGTTACAATTCCTATGGTATAAAGAAGTAGAAAGATGGAAGAACACACTAGACAATATATAAATTGAATACTTCCTGGCACGGTAACTATAGCTTTCGATTTTTATATTGTCTAATATGTCCTGTCTTTTTACTTCTTTCCGTGAGTGCTAATCAATACATTGTCTGTTTGCTTATTATATATGCAGTGCAATTAATCCTCCTATGAAGGAAGAAGAAGATTCTGTAATGTAAAGAAGGTTATTATTTGTGAAGCAACTAAGATATTTTGTTTGTAACTAGAGTTGACAGTATCGCACATTTTCTCATCATTGTCGTCGTCATCCTCCCAGGCCAAGTATAGATGACCCTGGGCCACTGACGGCTCTCACGCAGGGCCTGAAGCTGTCCACCATCCTCGGCAAGGCTCGACCCATTTCCCATGATTCAATAGTCAGTTTTACTCAGCTGAGACAGGAAATTCTGTCCCAGTTTCTTCACTCGGAGCAGGTTGCTGGTGTTAAGGTTAGTTCATTAGTTGTCACTTTCCCATATTTGCTCTGGGGCTCCATTTTTGGCAAAAGGGGGTAGAGAATAGACACACTGCTGCCTTACACGCATGTCATAACAGATGAGTAATGAGGATTTTGCTGAAATCAGATGTATTGGGCCTGAAAGGTGCAGATAGCAGCCTAGCTGTAAACCGCAACACAGTGTGCTAACTAGCGTTATAAGGGAGAACATATATCATTACGAAGGTGAATGTATTAGTTGTTCGTGTCAAGGTTAGTGAATAAGTGGTCAGAGTTAGGGAATTAGGTGTCAGTGTTAAGAATAATGAATTAGTTGTCATTGTTAAGATTATTGAATTAATTGTCAGCGTTAAGAATAATGAATTAGTTGTCAGTGTAGATCAGAGCTGTACGGTCCAAGTTAGGGATGAAAGCTAATTATAATTTGTGATTTAGATTAGGGATTGTTAAGGTATAACTAACTGCCAGTGTCAAGATGACGTGATGTCAGCCATCTGTCTCAAGATAATGTGATGTCAGCCATCTGTCTCAAGATAATGTGTTGTCAGCAACTGTCTCAAGATAATGTGATGTCAGCCATCTGTCTCAAGATAATGTGATGTCAGCCATCTGTCTCAAGATAATGTGTTGTCAGCAACTGTCTCAAGATAATGTGATGTCAGCCATCTGTCTCAAGATAATGTGATGTCAGCAACTGTCTCAAGATAATGTGATGTCAGCCATCTTACTTTACTTACTTTACTTTTTCCTTCCACGTATGCCGCTAAGCGTTGTGGGGGAGATGCAAGTTCCTGTCATAAGCAAGGCGGGCAGCATCTGATGTTCTGAGGCCATGCTTTTGGCAGGTTTCGGAGACCCCGTCAATCCACCGTTTCCTTGGTCTTCCTCTTGCCTTATATCCTGAGCTTCTTTGGTTGAAAATTTGTGATGTTATTTGGTCATTTTTCATCCTGGTTAGATGTCCAAACCATTTCATTCTTTGATGTTCTATGTAGTCTAAACATGGTGTAGTTTTGACAGTGTTTCTAATGTCTATGTTCTTTATCCTGTCTAGTCTGGTCTTATTCGCTGCTTTTCTTAGACATTTCATTTCACAGGCTTCTATTTTTCTTTCATGGGTCTTGTTGATTGTCCATGTCTGGCACTGGTAGCAGAGTGTTGGAATGAAGATGGTGTTTATCAATTGTCTTTTGGTCTTCATGGTTATATCTGGATGTTTAAGCAGAGGTGATAGTTGGTATGTGACAGCATTTGCTTTCTGTATTCTTGTTTCTATCTCTCTGTCCATTCTTCCATCCTCTGTAAATATACTGCCCAAATATTTGAACTCTTTGGTTTGCTTGATTTTGGCACTTCCAACATTTATATTCAGTGGCCTGTGTGTTCTGCTGATCTTCATAACTTCTGTTTTTTCTGTACTGATTTTCATATTATGTTGTAAACAGCTGTTGTTGAGAGTAGTCAGATGTTCCTGTAGATCATATTCATTTTGATACAGTATGCTTTGATCATCAGCAAAAAGTAATTCGTTTATAGCATACACGTCTGGGTTTGCTTTTACAGTGATCTTATCCATGTATGTTATGAAAAGTAATGGTGACAGTACACATCCTTGTCTGACACCTTCCGTTTGGGGCTATCCGTTTATTTATCTCCTTTCTAATTTTCGTAGCAATAGAAAATCCACTGCCGGCTTGCTAGGCCAGTCGCAGTTTAAGGGAAAATCTGACCAGATGGACCCCATCCCATCTGGCGAGCCAGAGCCTCGTTCGCCTGTGGCCTCACGGCCACAGTTTCCCGGTCTGCACCACTGGGAGGAGAGGTTGACTTATGTGTACTGTGGGTCATCGGCAGGCTACTAATTTTCACTTTTCACCTCTCTTAAGAGAAGCTAGCCGACCCCAACCCTGCTGGATGCAGAGCCAGGCACAGTCCACATCTTGCAGACCCGTCAGCCATCTGTCTCAAGAAAATGTGATGTCAGCCATCTGTCTCAAGATAATGTGATGTCAGCCATCTGTCTCAAGAAAATGTGATGTCAGTCGTCTGTCTCAAGATAATGCGATGTCAGCCGTCTGTCTCAAATAATGTGATGTCAGCCGTCTGTCTCAAGATAATGTGTTGTCAGCCGTCTGTCTCAAGATAATGTGATGTCAGCCATCTGTCTCAAGATAATGTGATGTCAGCCGTCTGTCTCAAGATAATGTGATGTCAGCCATCTGTCTCAAGATAATTTGATGTCAGCCGTCTGTCTCGAGATAATGTGATGTCAGCCGTCTGTCTCAAGACAATGTCATGTGTCTCAAGATAATGTGATGTCAGCCGCCTGTCTCAAGATAATGTGATGTCAGCCATCTGTCTCAAGATAATGTGATGTCAGCAACTGTCTCAAGATAATGTGATGTCAGCCATCTGTCTCAAGATAATGTGATGTCAGCCATCTGTCTCAAGAAAATGTGATGTCAGTCGTCTGTCTCAAGATAATGCGATGTCAGCCGTCTGTCTCAAGATAATGTGATGTCAGCCGTCTGTCTCAAGATAATGTGTTGTCAGCCGTCTGTCTCAAGATAATGTGATGTCAGCCATCTGTCTCAAGATAATGTGATGTCAGCCGTCTGTCTCAAGATAATGTGATGTCAGCCATCTGTCTCAAGATAATTTGATGTCAGCCGTCTGTCTCAAGATAATGTGATGTCAGCCGTCTGTCTTAAGACAATGTCATGTGTCTCAAGATAATGTGATGTCAGCCGCCTGTCTCAAGATAATGTGATGTCAGCCATCTGTCTCAAGATAATGTGATGTCAGCAACTGTCTCAAGATAATATGATGTCAGCCGCCTGTCTCAAGATAATGTGATGTCAGCCGCCTGTCTCAAGATAATGTGATGTCAGCCATCTGTCTCAAGATAATGTGATGTCAGCAACTGTCTCAAGATAATGTGATGTCAGCCATCTGTCTCAAGATAATGTGATGTCAGCCATCTGTCTCAAGATAATGTGATGTCAGCCATCTGTCTCAAGAAAATGTGATGTCAGCCATCTGTCTCAAGATAATGTGATGTCAGCCATCTGTCTCAAGAAAATGTGATGTCAGTCGTCTGTCTCAAGATAATGCGATGTCAGCCGTCTGTCTCAAGATAATGTGATGTCAGCCGTCTGTCTCAAGATAATGTGTTGTCAGCCGTCTGTCTCAAGATAATGTGATGTCAGCCATCTGTCTCAAGATAATGTGATGTCAGCCGTCTGTCTCAAGATAATGTGATGTCAGCCATCTGTCTCAAGATAATTTGATGTCAGCCGTCTGTCTCAAGATAATGTGATGTCAGCCGTCTGTCTCAAGACAATGTCATGTGTCTCAAGATAATGTGATGTCAGCCGCCTGTCTCAAGATAATGTGATGTCAGCCATCTGTCTCAAGATAATGTGATGTCAGCAACTGTCTCAAGATAATGTGATGTCAGCCATCTGTCTCAAGATAATGTGATGTCAGCCATCTGTCTCAAGATAATGTGATGTCAGCCATCTGTCTCAAGAAAATGTGATGTCAGCCGTCTGTCTCAAGAAAATGTGATGTCAGCCGTCTGTCTCAAGATAATGTGATGTCAGCCATCTGTCTCAAGATAATGTGATGTCAGCCATCTGTCTCAAGATAATGTGATGTCAGCCATCTGTCTCAAGATAATTTGATGTCAGCCGTCTGTCTCAAAATAATGTGATGTCAGCCGTCTGTCTCAAGACAATGTCATGTGTCTCAAGATAATGTGATGTCAGCCGCCTGTCTCAAGATAATGTGATGTCAGCCGCCTGTCTCAAGATAATGTGATGTCAGCCATCTTTATCAAGATAAAGTGATGTCTGTCTGAAAAATATTACAAAATAAATGTTTATTTTTATTTTATTTTACAGTGGAAGCGTTATCCGATACTTAACAAACTGTTGAAGGGACACCGACGTGGGGAGCTGACTGTCTTTACTGGGCCGACAGGATCAGGGAAGACAACTTTTATGAGCGAATATTCTTTGGATCTGTGCATGCAGGGGGTGAGTGTCAGTGCCTCTCATAGTTCCGACTGTATTTACACATGTATAGGCCACAGTATTTTGATTTAAAATTGTTGATGAAAAATCTGATGCTGCTTACACCTCTGTTTTTCTGCTTCTGACATCCATGCACACATTTTTTTTTCAAAAGATTTGCTCACTGACGTTTTGCCTGGCATATAGAAGAATACAGGAGTTGTCCCGACGTGGGTTGCAATTTTTCGTTATTTGAAGCCCCATCCTGGCTCTTGCCGGGGGCCCTGAATATAGCCGGGCCATATTTCCATAAATATCACCTCTCCACAGGTGATCCTCATCTGCATGGTGGCACTGTGTCACAGGGTGTTTATCACTTGTGTGATGTCCTGATGGGGTACAACAAGAAAGAAAGAAAGAGTTTCACCAGCGAGGATCCTGAAATACTTTTGGTAGATTTTAAACTCCAAATTTTGCCCGGGCAGCGCCGTTAGGCTACTCCGTGTGCAACAGTATGTACTATCATCACCACTAACATTGTCTATGAGTACTATAAAATAATACACCACACCAGTTGTAATCTTATAGTGCGATTGGTCTCTTTATTATGGACGAACACATTGCAGTGGAGATGAATTGGTGATCAATGACTCACTGTTTGCTTACCACCTGCTAAATGCACTGGCATCGGCAGTCTCTCCAGACGTGGACAGAACACACTAGTGGAATATGTACAAGTTGCCTGCTGCGGTTGACTCATGCCCAGTCACACAGATACACCTATGTGATGTGCAGTGACAGTCCTCTGACAGTTCTTCCTCTAAGAGTACCCAAGGTAGATGCACCACTTGGTGAAAAGCATCCAGACCTCCCCTCTGCTGCCTAGTCACTCATGAAGTATCACTGAGCAACATCCAGTTAACTAGCCTCTAATACCTCCCAATCACATTGGTCAACACATACAAAGTTTCCCAACACTTTCTTTACATTTAAGGACACCTTGTCAACCAGCATGCCACACAGCCGCAGCTGAGCTGACCCTTCTCCCAACACACCTGGGGCACAAGATGTTTGATTAATCAATGCAGATCAGGCGATATTAGTCGTTTACTTTTGTGGAGAATTTGAATAAACACAAGCATCTATGGATCTGTCCGTAGAGGGCTGTAATGATAATCCTTACTAATCACACATCGTGCTATTCTAATGTTTGCAGGTAAACACACTTTGGGGAAGTTTTGAGATCAACAACGTGCGTCTGGGCAAGATGATGCTGACACAGTTTGCTCAGTAAGTTCATGTTGATTGAGGTTGGGTCCTAAGGATGCTAAACATTCAGCTGCTTCCTCAGTCTGTCAAATCTGGATTCTTCTGAACCTATTAAATATGGCAGCCTCTAAAATTATTTGTATATGGCTTCATTTAAACCTGTCAGATCTTATTCCCTCTGAACTTATATCTTCTTTTCTCTGAGCCTGTCAAATCTTATTTCGTATGAATCCTTCGAATCTGGTTTCATATGTCAAATCTGGTTTCTTGTGAACGTGTAAAATTTGGTTTCATGTGAACCTGTCAAATCCTGTGAGATCTTTCATGTCTTGCTTTCTCTGAACCTGTCATGAAATCTTGTTTCATCTGAAGATGCGAAATCTTACCTATGTAAACTTATCAAATTTTGTTTATTTTAAATATTAAAATTTATTCCCCTGACCTGGTAAAATATTGTGTCCTGTGAACTTTTTCAAATCTTGTATATTCTAACCATGTTTAAATGTGTTCCTCTGACCCTGTCAAATCTTGTTTCCTCTGAAGTTGTAACTGTAGCATATACTGTTAGATGTCTCACCATTCTTTCATCAACTTCTGTCTGTTTCCTCTCACCTGATCAAATCCCTGGAGGCCTTAAACATGTAAAATCTCTTTTTTTTGTTCGCAGACGGAACCTGTCGAAAAATCTAGAGCTGTTTGATGATTATGCCGACCTCTTCCAGAGCTTGCCCATGTACTTTATGACTTTCCATGGACAGGAGAGCGTCAAGAAGGTGGTGGATGTAAGTTGTTTGTGTCTGTTGGTGGACGTAAATTGTTTGTGTCTGTTGGTTGACGTAAGTTGTTTGTTTGTGTGTATGAATCTGTTTGTTGGTTGGCGTAGCTATTTCTGATGGCTGCTGCTGTAGTTCAGAGCTTCTCAGACTTAGACCTGCTGCAGTTTCCTATAAAAAGTCTTTGTGTTTGGTAAAGAAGATACGGTGAGACTAAAGTCCCCTTAACATGTAAGTCCCAAATTATGTGTCTGTAAGTCCTCTGGGTAAGTGTGTCTAAGTCTTCTGGGTAAGTGTGTCTGTAAGTCATCTGAGTAGGTGTGTCTGTAAGTCTTCTGGGTAAGTGTGTCTGTAAGTCATCTGAGTAGGTGTGTCTGTAAGTCCTCTGGGTAAGTGTGTCGGTAAGTCCTCTGGGTAAGTTTGTCTGTAAGTCCTCTGGGTAAGTGTGTCTGTTAGTCCTCTGGGTAAATGTTTGTGTCTGCAAGTTCTCTTGGTAAGTGTTTGTGTCTGCAAGTTCTCTGGGTAAATGTTTGTGTCTGCAAGTTCTCTGGGTAAGTGTTTGTGTCTGCAAGTTCTCTGGGTAAGTGTTTGTGTCTCAAGTTCTCTGGGTAAGTGTTTGTGTCTGCAAGTTCTCTGGGTAAGTGTTTGTGTCTGCAAGTTCTCTGGGTAAGTGTTTGTGTCTGCAAGTTCTCTGGGTAAGTGTTTGTGTCTGTAAGTTCTCTATGGTAAGTGTGTCTGCAAGTTCTCTATGGTAAGTGTGTCTGCAAGTTCTCTGGGTAAGTGTTTGTGTCTGCAAGTTCTCTGGGTAAGTGTGTCTGCAAGTTCTCTGGGTAAGTGTTTGTGTCTCAAGTTCTCTGGGTAAGTGTTTGTGTCTGCAAGTTCTCTGGGTAAGTGTTTGTGTCTGCAAGTTCTCTGGGTAAGTGTTTGTGTCTCAAGTTCTCTGGGTAAGTGTTTGTGTCTGCAAGTTCTCTGGGTAAGTGTTTGTGTCTGCAAGTTCTCTGGGTAAGTGTTTGTGTCTCAAGTTCTCTGGGTAAGTGTTTGTGACTGCAAGTTCTCTGGGTAAGTGTTTGTGTCTGCAAGTTCTCTGGGTAAGTGTGTCTGCAAGTTCTCTGGGTAAGTGTTTGTGTCTGCAAGTTCTCTGGGTAAGTGTTTGTGTCTGCAAGTTCTCTGGGTTAGTGTTTGTGTCTGCAAGTTCTCTGGGTAAGTGTTTGAGTCTGCAAGTTCTCTATGGTAAGTGTGTCTGTCTGTAAGTCCTCTAGATAAGCATCTGTTTTGTAAGCATCCTCTATTGTCTCATGAGCTGGTTGTCTCTAGCTGCCATTAACAGGTCAGGGTTGCCTCTGGTTGCCTTACCATATTTCTTTCATGTTACATTATGTCACATCTTCTTCTTCTTCTTCCTTTCTAACTCACAGTGGAGCCAAGGCTCTCAACCAACTCATTCTGCCAGGTTGTTCCATCATTTGCTGTAGCCTGCAGCTCTCCCCAAGTCCTCCCCATCTTTTTCACTTCACTCTCCAGCTTCCTTTTCCACGTGCGTTTGTTGTTGTTGTGTGGTCTTCCTTTATTTCTATGCCCCTGCATCATGTCACAGCTGCTTACCATAAACATATCTATATCTGATGGTTGTAAAATGCCACTTTGTCTTGGCTGTGACACAAATGTCTCTGATGGCATAAATGTCAATTTGTCCAGGCTATGTCACATGCTGTTTACGTCCATGACATTGCACACGTGGTCTTGGACAACCTGCAGTTCATGATGGGGGTTGGCGGCACCGAGTGGAATGACCGCTTCATGAAACAGGACTCCATGGTTGCTGCCTTTAGGAAATTTGCCACTAACATGAACTGTCACGTGACGCTGGTTATTCATCCGCGGAAGGTAGGAAAGATCTCTTATTTATTCACGCTGTTTCATCATTATCATTTGTTCTCATTCCTATATCTTTTTTGAGATGTTTTTGAGATGCAGAGGTGCTGAACCACATGGGGCCGGGAACCATACAGCGTGCTGAACCACAAGGGGTGCTGAACCACAAGGGGCCAGGAACCATACAGGGTGCTGAACCACACGAGGCTGGGAACCATACAGGGTGCTGAACCACACGAGGCTGGGAACCATACAGGGTGCTGAACCACAAGGGGTCGGGAACCATACAGGGTGTTGAACCACAAGGGGTCGGGAACCATACAGGGTGCTGAACCACATGAGGCCGGGAACCATACAGGGTGCTGAACCACATGAGGCCTGGGAACCATACAGGGTGCTGAACCACATGAGGCCTGGGAACCATACAGGGTGCTGAACCACAAGGGGTCGGGAACCATAGAGGGTGCTGAACCACAAGGGGCCGGGAACCATACAGAGTGCTGAACCACAAGGGGTGCTGAACCACATGAGGCCGGGAACCATACAGTGGGCTGAACCACAAGGGGTGCTGAACCACATGGGGCCGGGAACCATACAGGGTGCTGAACCACAAGGGGCCGGGAACCATACAGGGTGCTGAACCACAAGGGGTCGGGAACCATACAGGGTGCTGAACCACATGGGGCCGGGAACCATACAGGGTGCTGAACCACATGGGGCTGGGAACCATACAGGGTGCTGAACCACATGAGGCCGGGAACCATACAGGGTGCTGAACCACATGGGGCCGGGAACCATACAGGGTGCTGAACCACAAGGGGTCGGGAACCATACAGGGTGCTGAACCACAAGGGGTGCTGAACCACATGGGGCTGTGAACCATACAGGGTGCTGAACCACATGGGGCCATGAACCACATGGGGCTGTGAACTACATAGGGTGCTGAACTACACAAGGTGATGAACCACATGGGGTGCTGAACTAGACAGGGTGATGAACCACAAGGGGTGCTGAACTACACAAGGTGATGAACCACATGGGGTGCTGAACTACACAAGGTGATGAACCACATGGGGTGCTGAACTACACAGGGTGATGAACCACAAGGGGTGCTGAACTACACAAGGTGATGAACCACATGGGGTGCTGAACTAGACAGGGTGCTGAAAAACACAAGGTGATGAACCACATGGGGTGCTGAACTACACAGGGTGATGAACCCCAAAGGGTTCTAAACTACCCAGGGTGATTAACCACATAGGGTGGTTAGGCAACAGGAGTATGACTCAAACCTTACACCTCTCCACAGTCATCCTGGAAATAGGTTCCCAGTCGGGAAGCCTAGTCCACATAGATGGAGTCTGAGTTTCCTTTGAAGTCAGGGCGCATCTATCAGAGAGGCACGGAAACAATAGTCTGCACACAGATAAGCCATCTCTGTAAAATGGGTGTGCACACAACACTGAAGTCATTGAACAAGACCAGAGTTCAGTCATAAATAAACAACCAGGATTTTTCACTGCAGTGTGGAGGAAGAAGAAGATATGAATAGTTAGTGCATTGCTTATTTGAATAGTAGGGACATCACTATGGTTATACATTAAAGACATGTCTGTTGTGTTAGGGACATATCTATGATAGTGTATTAGGGACATGACTATGATAGTGTATTAGGGACATCTCTGTGATTGTGTATTAGGGACATATCTGTGGTAGTGTATTAGGGATATCTCTGTGATTGTGTATTAGGGACATCTCTGTGGTAGTAAATTAGGGACATTTCTGTAATAGTATATAAGGGACATCTCAGTGGTAATGTTTAAGAGACATCTCTATGGTAATGCATTAGGGACATCTCAGTGATGGTGTATAAGAGAACTTGTCAAATTTACTTCAAGTTATAATAGTTTCATGTGTGTAGATATTCAGACAGTGACACAAGGATGACTTTATCATCTATGGGATTACCTTGTATAACTAGTTCTGTGTTTCAACAATGTTGTTCTGACACCAGGAGAAGGAGACCGAAGATCTGACCACAGCCTCTGTCTTCGGGACAGCCAAGGCCACACAAGAAGCTGACAATGTTCTCATTCTACAGGACAAACGCTTGACCTCTGTCCGCGGCAGGAAGTATTTACAGGTCAGTTGTGTGGGGTCATTATCCCAGTACGGAAATTATTGTCTTCATTCATTTGTAACGCCCCCCTCCCTTCCCCCCAACCACACAGATACAAATTCATCTCTTTAGTGAGGATTTGAACAGAGGAATTTAAGTATTTGGGAGCAATTTTTACATCTGATGGAAAACTGGACTGAGAAATTAGCTCCAGATGTGCCAAAGCTAATCAAGTAATGGGTCAACTATCTCCCCTGTTGACACACAAGCAGATACCTCAGAGTACTAAAGTGAATCTTATCAGAACTATTTTTTGGCCAACACTATTCTATCAATGCCAAACGTGGACACTTACATCCTCCAATGAACGTAAAATTGTGACAACAGAGATGAAATGCCTTAGAAGAGCTGCAGGAGTTTCAAGGAAAGACAGAATACGAAATCATGAAATCAGACGAATGCTAGGAATAAAGCCAGTCTTACAGGTCATCAAAGAACAACAAATGAAGTGGTTTGGACACCTAACAATAATGCCCTGGTTCTATCTGCCACAGCGAGCCACACTAAAACATTATAATGGGTATAGAGCGAGTGGAAGACCTCGGAAAAGTTGGAGTGATGGCATTAAGACATCAGTCTTAATAGTGCTCTTGACACAGCTTATCAACGAACATTACATCTCCCCCCGACACTTCGATGAGGTACAAGGTAGAAGAGAAGAAGAAGAAGAAGTGAGGATTTGAAACTGTCTCCCAGACGGGAACCTAGCATTCTTTAGATTTGTTAAATGTCCTCCTCGCATTTGGAAAGCAATGGATTTAAGCTGTAGGTGGATGGGACACAAGGAGGTAATAAAATATCATTCAGGGGCCCAGTTGAGCTGAGTCAAGAATGACATCACAACACTTGGGGCATTTTCATATGTGCTCCATCCCCATCTTCAGCAGCCAGCACAGACTACCAGTACTAATGGTACTGGTCGTAGTCTAATTATATGCCCGTCATGCCTTTCCTCTGAGTGTAGTGAGCCGGCCAGACCCTCTGGTCACACCCAGGTGCATCATTCTCTCGAGGCAATAATAATAATCCAGTTTCTCTTCTGACTTCGTTACTTGTTCCCAAAGGGCCTTGACCACATCTGCCTTGTCATGTATCAGTTCACCACCCAGTGATGCAGATCCAGCAGATCTGTCTGCCTGTTCTTTCCCCAGGATGTCAAGTTTGGAGAAAAAAAAAAGTAAAAAAAAAACCTTTTCCACACCTGGTGTATATAGGTCTAGACCTATATTTTACATACCAATTGGCGCTCAATGGGTGATGCGGCAAACATCCCACCGGCCACTTTTACTTCCCAGGACTATACGCTGTGGTGCTAGACCTCACCAATCATCTATTCTGATCTGTGTTGCAGGTGACCAAGAACAGGTTTGATGGTGAGCTGGGTCTGATGCTGCTCAAGTTTGACAAGGAGTCTCTCGGTTTTGCTTCCAAGGACAAGGAGAGAACCAGCAGGAAAACGGATAACGAGGATGCACAGAATCCAGAAGATGATGATGATGAAAGTCAAAGAAGAGAAACCAGTGCAGATATGGCTGAAGAATTGTGACACTAGAACAATGGGAAAATGGCATGTTGAGGTTAAAACAGTGTTGAATGTTTGATGTTGAGATTAAAACAGTTGAATGTTTGATGCTGAGATTAAAACAGAGTTTAATGTTGATGTTGAGACTAACAGAGAGTTGAGTGTTTGATGTTGATACTACTAGACAGTTAATGCTTGGTGTTGAGATCAAAGCAGAGAGAGAGAGAGAGTTACAATTTTTATCAGAGAGTTGTAGATAACTGAATGTTTAGGAGAGTATTATAGGTGATGAATGAGAGAGAATTATAGATGATATTTGTGAGAGAATTACAGATGATGTTTAAGAAAGAATTATAGATGATGTTTGTGAGAAAATTTTACATGATTTTTAAGAGAGAATTATAGATGATGCTTAAGAGAAAGTTATATATGATGTTTGAGAGAGAATTATAGAATATGTTTGTGAGAAAATTATACATGATGTTTAAGAGACAATTATAGATGATGTTTGAGTGAATTAAGATGATGTTAAAGAAAGAATTATAGATGATGTTGAGAGAGAATTACAGATGATGTTTGAGAGTGAATTATAGATGATGGTTGAGAGACAATTATAGATGATGTTTGAGAGAGAATTATAAATGATGTTGAGAGAGAATTATAGATTATGTTTTAGAGAAACTTATAGATGATGTTTGAGAGAATTACAGATGATGAATGAGAGAGAATTATAGACATTTTAAAGAGCTGAGGGGAGGGGGGAGGTTGATGTTTCAAGAAAGATTTATGTATTTTTGAAGTTTGATAGATGCTGCTGTTCACAGATACGAATATGAGTGTACATATTTATAAATGTCATTCAAGCAAATTATGGGCATTAGCTAAATTGTGTACAGATTTTTCTAAATATAAATAACACAAAACACTGAGATAATGATTTGGTGAAAATGTTTGTCATTTGTTTATTTATGGTCCAGTTAGTATTCTTTTCTGTTGTCCTCCATTGATAACCAGGCCCACTGTCATGGTTGTCGTTTATCTTTATTTATATTCCAGGTTGTCATTTGTGTTTGCTTTTGTTCCAGGTTGTCATTTCTGTTCCAGATTGTAATTTGTGTTTGCTTATGTTCCAGGTTGTCATTTGTGTTTGCTTATGTTCCAGATTGTCATTTGTGTTTGCTTATGTTCCAGGTTGTCATTTGTGTTTGCTTATGTTCCAGGTTGTCATTTGTGTTTGCTTATGTTCTAGGTTGTCATTTGTGTCTATTTATGTTCCAGGTTGTCATGTGTGATTGTTTATGTTCTAGGTTGTCAAGTATGATTGTTTATGTTCTAGGTTGTCATGTTTGTTTATGTTCTAGGTTGTCATGTTTGTTTATGTTCCAGGTTGTCATGTTTGTTTATGTTCCAGGTGTCATTTGTGTTTATGTTCCAGGTTGTCATTTGTCTTTTTTTATGTTCCGGGTTGTAATTTATGTGTGTTTATATTCCTTGTTGTCATTTGCGTTTATGTTCCGGGTTGCATTTGTTTATGTTCCAGGTTATCATGTGTGATTGTTTATGTTCCAGGTTGTCATGTGTTATTGTTTATGTTCCAGGTTGTCATATGTGATTGTTTATGTTCCAGGTTGTCATGTGTTATTGTTTATGTTCCAGGTTGTCATATGTGATTGTTTATGTTCCAGGTTGTCATTTGTGATTGTTTGTGTTCCAGGTTGACATGTGTGTTTGCATTCCAGGTTGTCATTTACATCTGTTTATGTTCCAGGTTGTCATTTGTATTTGTTTGTGTTCCAGGTTGTCATTTACATCTGTTTATGTTCCAGGTTGTCATTTGTTTTTGTTTGTGTTCCAGGTTGTCATGTGTGTTTGCATTCCAGGTTGTCATTTACATCTGTTTATGTTCCAGGTTGTCATTTGTGTTTATTTGTGTTCCAGGTTGACATGTGTGTTTGCATTCCAGGTTGTCATTTACATCTGTTTATGTTCCAGGTTGTCATTTGTGTTTGTTTGTGTTCCAGGTTGTCATCTACATCTGTTTATGTTCCAGGTTGTCATTTATGTTTGTTTGTGTTCCAGGTTGTCATTTACATCTGTTTATGTTCCAGGTTGTCATTTGTGTTTGTTTGTGTTCCAGGTTGTCATTTACATCTGTTTATGTTCCAGGTTGTCATGAGTGTTTATTTTCTGGTTTGGTGGACCAAAGAGCAGAGGTATTGCAGGTATGCTGTATATCCCAACACGCTAACCACCATTTTGAAGATGAACACAGAGAGAGGAGCTACTAGGGCTATGCATTAGTAACAATGGAAATCAGATTTTATAGAAAGGCTGCAGGAGATCAAGAAATCTAGCAAATCAAGTACCTGGGCAACACATCACTTTTGACCTACAGAAGGATATGGATGTGCTGCTGAAGTAAAAAGAGGATATCGGTGTGCTGCCATAGCAACAAGAAGAAATAAATAAAAAATAAAAAAAGAGAAAACTAGACTGAAACCAGTTATATAGTTCATTATAAAGCAACAGGGGTCACGTTAGCGCAGTCCAAAACTCGCTTTCAAATCCAGCTGTGACTCGCAGCCCACGGCCGGTGTTCGAAACCGGGCGGTTCCAGGGGTTTACCCAGCCTCTAGGGAATGGGTACCAGAGTTAATGTTCTGGGGTAAATGGAGGAACGTCGCTGTAGCTACAAAGTTACGTGCGAACGCCGACACAGGCTGACAGTTTCTTATCAGCTGTCCGTTCTGGTGGCAGAGCACTTATGGTTTATAATCGTGTACAATGACGCTGGTTCACATCTCCAGACTTTACCTTTATTAAAAAGCAACAGGAAAGATGATTTGGCCATCTAAAGAGAAAAACCACGGTACCAACTGCCAAACAAAACCATGCTGAACTGAAGAAATATATAATGTAGACAGCAAGGGGAACACCAAGCAAAATGTGGAACAAAGGCACCAAGAAACACCTGATAGAAATGAAGGTCTTCTCTTACAGCGCATTACAAATAGCAACCAGGAAGACCTTGCATCTTTCCCCAACACATCGATCTTTTCTTGTTTCATCTCTGCTTTTTGCCGGTCCCGAATCTGGATGAGAAAGGAGGAGGGTTAGGCTTGGGATCATCAAACACACCCTGTCAAAGTGATTAGTTACAGAACCTTGCAGGTAAGAACAGGTAAATAAACAAAGTCAAGTAGTGTGTGGTGCAGGGGGGGGTCTTTGAGCCTGAGGATTTACGGCCGCATGGCTAGTGTTGTCGCCACGACTGTACAGATAAGGTTTCATTTTGCTCCAGACAGAAAAAATTTCCTATCCTTACCGAGGATTCGAACCCGGGTCTCCCGCTTGAGAGCCCAGCATTCTAACTGTTCAGCCAGCCGCTCCTCCGTCAGGTACTAAATGGAAATAATTAAGAAAGCGAGGGCGCCCAAAAGAAAACCTAAAACAAACACTGATGAGAGAGGCTAAGCTGCTGGACTGGGTTTCCATACATGATTCTGAAGTTTAAACAACGAATCAACATCATGGCACACGGATAGTAACCCATAAGTGCTCCGTTCTTTCTTCTAACTCGAGTCCGAAGAAGCTCAGCACAGTGCACAGGTTCTGTAGCACCGGCGATAATCCTGAAATATTTTGGGTAGATTTTTCTCTCCAAATTTTGCCCGGCAGCGCTGTTAGGCTACTCTTTTCGATTTCCAACTGCCAGGGATTTTTTGGTGGCAAAACGGGCGTCCGATCTTACTACCCAGAAACCAGGGGAAACACTTAAATTTGCTGCACAGGATAAAATGGAATTGAGGAACAGAGTGCGAGCCCTGTCTGACATATCATCTGTCCTGGGGGGTAGAATTTCTCAATGTGACACATGTCATCCAGATGCCGCCCCTAATAGCTTTGCGCTGTCAGATCAAAAGTTCAAATTGTATTTTTATTTCTCTGTTATGCCACCCCTGCCCCTATTTTGTTTCTTTTCTACGGAGCCGCCTGAATCATAATACGGCACAGCAAGATAATGAATGAATATATGGCACAACATGATAATGAATGAATGTGTAGCACAACATGATAATCAGTGAATATATGGTACAACATAATAATGAATGAATGTATGGCACAAGATGATAATCAATAATGATTAGGGATAAATATATGGCACAACATGAAAATGAATAGACGGCACATTATAATGAGTTAATGTATGGCACAACATGACAATAAATGAATGTATGGCACAACAAGGCAATGAATGAATATATGGCACAACATGACAATCAATGAATAGATGACACAACATGACAATAAATTAATAGATGGCACAACATGATAATGAATGAATATATGGCTCAACATATTAAATAAATATAAGGCACAACAAGACAATGAATGAATATATGGCACAACATAACAATGAATGAATATATGGCACAACATGGCAATGAATGAATTTTGGCACAACATGAAAATGAATTAATGTATGGCGCAACACGAAAATAAATGAAAATATAGCACAACAAGACAATGAATATATGGCACAACATGATAATGAATGAATATATGGCACAACATGATAATGAATGATAATATGGCACAACATGATAATGAATGAATATATGGCACAACATGATTATAAGTGAATATATTACACAACATGATAATGAATGAATAAATGGCACAATATTATAATGAATGAATATATGGCACAACATGACAATGAATGAATATATAACACAACATGATAATGAATGAATATATGGCACAACATGATAATGAATGAATATATGGCACAACATGATAATGAATTAATATATGGCACAACATGATTATGAATGAATATATGGCACAACAAGACAATGAATGAATATATGGCACAACATGATAGTGAATGAATATGGCACAACATGATAATGAATGAATATATGGCACAACATAACAATGAATGAATATATGGTACAACATGATAATGAATGAATTTTGGCACAACATGAAAAAGAATTAATATATGGCACAACACGGCA